CCTCTTTTGGTATCTTCTAGTGAGCTCAACCCAAGGGTAAGCTCTTCTACTTATTCTCTTTTGCGATCCTTGTTTGCTTTTGCCTTACTCTTTTGATTATATTGCAATTATAACATCTTGGTTATACAAGCTTAATCTTATAAAATAGAATACATGATAATTTCTGGCCAATCATTTTCATAAATGGGGTAGTGCTATGGCACAATGGTTCTCTTGAAGCTTGCTGTTCAGTAAGGTTTTCTTACATAGATAACAACAAGGATCATAAGAGATGGAAAATAAGCAAGCTTTTCTGAAATACATGCTGTCAGAAAGACGTTTTCCTGGGAACACATTGTGAGAAGGCAGAATGTCTTGTTGAAAACACCATTTACCAAATCAAGTATCAGCAACCCTCCAGCATGTAGTGCTGCCTCAGAAGTGACTCACTGGAGGATTATAAAATACTTTTATCACGCGCAAGGCTAGTAATGACATAACACCACTAACTTCAGTCAGTGATTTAAGGTGGGAAACAGTAGAATCAGAAGAATGAAACAGCTTTTAGAACAGGAAAACACCTATGAAGTCACTTAAGTCCACTTTATTCATGTCACTGATGATTTGTTCTCTGAAGTATGGTTTCTGTTTCTGTCTGTGTAATAGATTTGCTCTAGTTTAATTACAGTTTAAAACTAAAAGGCTGTATGCCTGTGGAAGATATGTTCTGCATAGATTGTCTTTCATAGTGTCCATTTACTTTGTGTTAATTTCCTGTGCTACCCTAGTAAGTTTATCTTTTTAAAAATAAAATATTTAGCGTTGGGCATTTTTAATTTAGTAACGGATGAATTAGCACTAGGTAGTTTCTTTATCTCATAAACTCCTAAAAGTACTTTTCCATCTCATTCTCGTTTTACTACCTTTTTATTGCCTCTGTGAAGCTGCATTATTCATAGCTTGCTCTTATTTACTGGTAAACTTGCTATCTTATCTTGAGTGTTCCCTGAATGTGCATTTGATTTGGTACCTTGTGTTATGAAAATGATCTTCTTCAGATTTACTACTGAGCAACTGCTTCATCCATCTGCTCAAGTTAATTATTTTCGCCTGTTCCACCTTGAACAGTGTTTCCTGATTATGATAGCTACTACCAACAGATGTTTCAGAATACTTGCAACTTTTTGTGAGCATCAGGAGAACGCTAACATGATTTCTGATTCTGAATGAACAGTGGAAGATAGCCTGATCTTACAGTGCTAAAAATACTTGCATTTAAATATATATTTTTTTCCTCTCTGATCTGTTTTTTTTTTCTTTGGGGGGGGGGAGGGGTGGGGAGGAGGAAGGCTGAGGGAAGGCTTGTAACTACAGTGAAGGAAAGAAACTTAATCCATACATATGGATGGTCTCTTGTAAACCAACCATACTTCTAGAAATACATTGTCAAAAGAGTTCTTCCATTGGTGAATATTCATTTATTCACAGTATTTCTGGTTTTGTTTATACATGGCTGGTTTTTGGATCATCCTACTTGAGGAAATAGACTGCATAGCTGAAGGAAACCCGTAGCAAAACTTCACTAAACTATTTTTAAAAAATGAAGTAAAACGTAGTTTGTGGATTCTTCTGAATCAGTGTAGGTAATATCTTTCTGTGATTTCATAAATTTTAAAGGATGTTCTAGCAGCAGCTCAAGTACTTAATATGAATAATAATATGACCTATGAATAGCATGTTTTCTAATGAAGCCATTTGTTACTAAAAAGGATCCTGACTTTTGCCCGAGTTATAAACTTTATAGATTTCCTGTTTCCTTTTGCTAAGAGAAAATGAAAAATGAAGGGGTAGATCTGTAGCAGAATGCATGATAGTTTAGTGGTTATAGTCAATTATTAACAATCCAAACTAATTCAAGCAATTTTTTACAGAATGATCTTATGTTTCTAAATTATCTTTAGCAATTATTTACTCAAGTTTTACAGATGGTATTAGAAAAATGTTCAGCAGAGAAATTTCTTGCTGGATGAGAGTGTAACTTAAGGTTTGGGCATACACTGGTTCTAGTTATGTTTTATTTTGCAATTTTTCTGTGTAGGTGTATATAATAACTGTAGATGAGTGAATAGCAACACTGGGACAGTAAACAAGAGACTCTTGCAGTGTTTGCTGAGATATGGTAAATTTGTGGGCACTGGCAATAAGAATGACCTGCTAAGTAGGTCACTCAAGCTTGTAATTTGGGGGGAAAAAATGGGGAAGAGTTATGAAAAGGGATAATTTTCATACTTGTTTAATTAAGTTAAATTGTGACTGTTAGAATCACTTCAAACTTGGTAATAAGTACTAGTCGAAACAACAGTGTGCTGCTGCTTCAATACTGAAGTTTGCTAATCACCTTATTTTTTATCTTTTTTATCTGAACAATGAGCCTTTTTTGTATGTTTTCACATCATTGCAGAGAATTACTGTTATTTGAAGTGTAATGAGTTGATACTTGAGAAGTAATCTGAAGAAAGCATAATTTCTACTTATTAAACTAATTATTCTCGTACAAGAAAAGTACATATTGAAGAACAGATGCTTCCCCACAAGAAAAAAATTGTTTTATTTTGCTATTAACCTCCTTGGAGATTAGCAGATAAAAATATCCTTCCAAAGTCCTTTAAATTTTGAGTTAGCATATATCAGCAATGTAAATTGATTAATGGATAATCATCCCTGAGGATAATAAGTCAATAAGGAAAAAATTTTGTGGAAATGAATCATTAATTCTTTCTTCAAAAATTAGCAAAAAAATCATTTTACTGTCAACTTCACATCTGATTTTCTTAGAATATGGGATTTTGGAATGCACAGTATAGCACTGTAATATGCATAGTTGCCAGCTGAATAACAGAGAGGAAAAAAAATACACAAAAAAGCATTCTATTTAGGTAATAATTATGCATCTGCAAGTCTTTGCAGATAGAACAAAGGGGAAAAAAAATTATCTTTTTGTGGCAAACACAAAAAAAAAGTAATAAGAATTATTATTATTTAAAAATAAAGGTTATTGGCACAAAATGGCATTTTAATTTATTTAGCTATTCTTCTAAGTTGCACATAATATTGCTAAATAAGGCCCAACACTTACATATTTTTGTTTGTCGAACAATTAAAAAACTCAAGAAAATTGCTTATATAAAATGGTAAGTCACCGAGTTTGTTTCAGACATACACATTTCAAATTCAGTCATAGCTTAGAGTGTTGTTATAGTTTGGGTAAGTTTCTTTGGCATTGCATGCGATTTTAGAAGTAAGACACAGACACTCATGATATAAATAGCATTTGTATGAATTGTTGTATGATCCCATTCTAAAATTGGAAAGCAGACTTCCTCATGTTTGGCATATGTACTGCTTAGTAACTTGGAGGTAGAAGTTTATTTTTAAATGTTAGACTGGAAAATACTGGCCGAAGCATTTTAGTGCCTCCCTTGTTCTAATTTCTAAAAGTGATATTTAAAACATAATTATAGGAATCTCAGTTTAGGCAATAATTGAACAATTCAGAAAAAAAAGTCATTTGGGGATTTTTAGCTGGGAAGGACATGCAGTTAGGTTGAGGAGTATACTTCACTGGATTTAGTTTAATGACCTGCTAAAATTGGCTTAACCCTCCAGTCAAAAGTCAGATTTTCACAGATATCTTTAAGTTTTCCTTCATTCTACCTATCATCATTGTGTGTGTCCAGCAAGGAGGAACAAAGTGCATTTGAAATAATGTTGCATTTCTAAAATAACTGTGGACTGGATTCCACACTTTTGTTCATCAGGATCTTTTTAAGTTTAACAAATCTCCAGCAGTCATTCTATTTCCCTTTTTCTATTTGTACTGCTGAACACAAAAGCTGTGTTATGTGCAGAATGACTGAGCTTATCCCTACTAGAAAGTAGTTATGTTTGGTATCTCTAGAACAATAAGGGTTTGCTGCCTGGTCAGTCAATGCTGGATCAGGTTCACATTCCCAAGCTCCCACTCCCCATCTACATAAGTAGGGGGTGGAGGGAGGAAGGTCCTTTTTTACAGAAGTGTTGAATAGAGAATTGCCAATTATGGACACAGGTGGGCTTGCACAGCAATAAATTTTAATTGACTGTAAAAATATCCTATGAAAAGAAGTTTGCAACCAATTAATTTTTATTCAGTGGAAACAATTCTTAGAGGATTTAATATTTTTAAGCTGTTTTGGAAAGAGGAGGCCCCTGAATGAGTGAAATATCTCAAATTTAGAGACAATTATAATTCATTTTACTGAATTGGACACAGGATATGAAATAATAACAGTCAAATGCTATTTTAGAAAACCATGTTTGAGATATTTCTAGTGCAGGAAAATGGCTGTGAAGCTGACTTAAAAAACTATTTGACAGGAATAAGTTGCCACCTTCCCCTCCACAGCAATTGAGGGATTTTGAAAGAAATACTCATCTTGCTGCCTGAAAAACTGCTCTTCTTACTGTAGCTATAGAAAGACATGCAAATGAATGGGAGGAATCAACACGTAGGAAAGGTGCATCTCATGCATATGTATCAATACGTACTATGTACCTGAAGTCATTTTAACGTTGGCCAGTGCAACTGTGATCTGTGGATTCATCCAGCCATCTAGTCAGAAACAACGTGCTCCTGGGGGTTCGGAGCCTCACACTACACTCTCTGCTGGCCAGAGGTGATGACAGAAGCTCTTTGCTCTGGAGTCTGATGCTTTTTTTTCAAGCATTCTGCAAAAACATTGAACTTCTAAGTACTTTTAGAGGGCAGACTGTAACAGAATACCATGTAACAATTTGCTGTCTTCCACCAAAGTTGATAGAAGAGATGTCAAGATCTTACCTTGCTTGTTACACCCTTATCATTCAGCAGGACTTTCTACTCATAAAGATATAGATGATAATCACCTTCTGTTTTATTTGGAGAAAATACGGCCTTCCAGGAACTGCCCTAAACGGGTCTTTCAGCTCTGGGCAGTGGCGGGTTACTTTGGAGCAGTGGGAGCTGGCTCTGATCCGACATGGGGCAGCTGCTGGGCTCTGCTCAGAGAGGCCACCCTGCTACAAAAACAGTGCCATACAAAGCTAATACAGAAGGGAATCCTTTTCCAGGATGTTTTAGCTATTCTGTCTGCTCTCCTGTTTTTTTTCTAGGCTCACAGTGAAATTTAAACGCCAAAATGAAGATGTCTTGGGAAAGATAGTTTTAAAAGGCTGACAAACCTATTGGTCAATATAAAAATCAGCAGTAAAAGTCATGGTTCAACTAATGGCTGTTATCCTTAGCATATGGCTTAGCAGCTAATTGGCTTTTGTCTTGAATATGTTTCTTATCTGGAGCTGATGGGAAGGTTTTTGATTGCTTCAAGAGATCAGCAAGACTCAGAGGTCAGTACCCCTGAAAGAGGTATTCTGTTTTTTTGAGCAAGAAACACGGCAGCTTCATTTTCTTTGTCTCTTTATGCCAGAGGAAGAAGGAAAACTAGTTGTTACACGAGTGCTGCGAGACTGTCCAGAATACATGCTCAAGCATATTTATCTTTGTGGGGATTTTTTTTTTTTTCCCCCCTGTAATTTCAGGTAAAAAAGGAAAAACAATAACAACAATAGCAACAGTAAATAAATACAAAGAACTTTCAAATTCCTATGTATTTTGGCTAGCTAGCAACTATCCACTGCTCACCAGGATCTCAGTAGATTTTATTATTTATATGATATACACATTGTATGTCATCATATATATGTTACATATTTTATGTTATTGTTTAGAAATAAGTTGTAAGGATACTATTTTGAGGTCAGAGAAACTTTCTGTATCAGATCATGGATTTGATCTTGGACTAAATAGCTAGTTGTGGGTTTTCATCTTTAACTATGAATTCTCTCCCCACCACAGAGTTGCTAATGGGTATCTGAAGGTTGTATTTTCAGTATCATTATTCAGAAGTCACGTTGCAGTGTACTGAAAGTACATCCTCAAAGTGAGTGTTTCAGCAGGTTTTTATCTCTTAGAGGTAGAGATGTTTTTGGAAGAGCAAGTTTGACCTTAACATAACATCTTTATAGGCATGTTTCATTAAAGAATGTTGGAAGCATCATGCTGATCTGGTGGTGCTTACACCACCACAGAGATGTCTGGAGGAATTTTAGAGCATTTGAATTCATGGTATCAATGTCAATGACCATCTTTCCTAAAATACACATGGCATCAAAACAACTTGTATTCCCACTTCCTTTAATAAAGTTGTCCCCATGAAAACTGCACACAGTCAGTTGGATGGCTTGCTGTTCTTATATGAGCATATCTTGGACTTGATTTCTTTTTCAGTAATTTTGATCTGCCATTGATATACTGCCTCTTGGAAGTACAGGTTGCCATGTGGCTGCAACAGCTGCTTCACTATTTTCAGTTGAAGCCTACTGCCTCCTCAGTCTCTGCCAAATTCTGGTAACAATAGCATTTTTTAAACTTTGAAATTGTTGCCCCTGATGTTTCAAACCATTATTAATTGTGTTGTGAGCTGCTGGACAAAATCCTTTTTTATATTTTAATTTTCTGAACATTTTTACAAAGGATTGTAAAGCAAGTCTCCTCTACTGAAGTAGATCTCAGTTCACACAGCCTGTTCGGATTGCATGTCTTAAATCATAGAATTGTTATGGTTGGAAAAGACCTCTAAAGATCATTTAGTCCAACTGTCTTATTCTCAGTTTCCAAGTAAGTTAATCTACCAATTTCAACTACTGTTCTCTCATGGTTTTGCTGTAGTTTTGGATTATAGAAAACACAACTACGTAATCGGCCTTGCATTTTATTGTTGTTTCTTTAAAATATTATTTATTGATGTGATAGAAGTGATGACAGAGTCCAGAAAAGTAGGTGGTATTATTCAAGTTCAATTTAAAAAAACAAAAACAAAAACAAAAAACCAATAAGATTATTTTATGATATGTGGGAAGACAAATGTACAAAATTGTAACTTGCAGGCTGGTGGATCGTTAGATCCTCTGGGACCAAACATGACATAACAGTGAAGTCCCTAGACTTTACTTACGTTTCACATAGATCTAGGTGTGTACTTGTCATGTAAAATTCAGTAATAGAGAGAAAATCAAAATTCTAGAAAATAAGTGCTGGAAAATATAACTTGGCTGCATTAGTTATTAATTTCCCCTACTTTGCAGAAGCTCTTCTGAAATTCATTTACAATAAATACACTTATTGTCCCCTTTTCAATTACTTTGCTTTTGCTTTCCAGTTATCTGAGGAGTGTAAACCAACAAAACATCATTGATTCAATGTCCACCACAGATAAGATGTCCTACATTTATCAATGTTGAATACTTTAGCATTAGATCAGCACAGACCAGCTGGGATTATAAACAATTTAGGCAAAGGGAACGTGTGTGATTATAACGTTTTATTGATTTATGAAATATTATTAGTAACCATCGTAGCCTTAACACTATAAAATCATTTCATGTTTCAAATGAAACAGTTGCATGTTGCATAAATATGTTACTGTTCTGTAGACTATGCGCAATCCTGAAAGTTCATTGTGTACTTAGAATCCAGTGTGACTTGAAGAATAGTGGATATGGATGTGTAAATCATTGCCTGTGTTATGTACTAAGATACGATCCTCTATTCATCCATTTGGTAGAAAGTGCTACCTCCTCCTCCATAGTTCAAAATCCTGCTGCTTCAAAAATGATCGTTTGCATGCTTTGAGATGTATAAATGCTTCCCAATCTGAGTATTACAAAAGACAGCTTCATTCACAGTCTCCAAAAGAAAGCCTGCGCAACAAAAGGACATATAGATTGAATTAATCTCTTAATTTCAGTTGTGTGGGGATTCAGGAATGACAGGTCATTGTCATATGGACAGAAAAGAGAACTGTTGGTGAAGAGTGAAGCAGTGACTCTCCCTGTAAAATCAGGTGTTCCATCACCCTTTTTTCTAATGTTAGCTCTTTCCTTTTGGGATATGAAAGAACACAGTAGGAAACCAATGTTCCTAAAATCATCTTTATTCTATCCCGTCTGTTTTCCCTGTCTTCCCTCCCCCTCCTTTCATCTCTTTCCGTTCTCCTTCTCCCCAAGCAAATTCTCCTAGTCTGATCATGAGCTAAATCAGTAATTACTGAGGCATCAACAAGTATAGTTAGCAGCTGACAGCACAGGCACTGCACTGTGTGGCCACAGGCTCATTAGGCTCACCCTGCTCCTCTCACTGCTTTCTTTAACTCTGCAGTCTGTTCACATAGGCACATTAGCAGTTGTCTTCCGTAGCATTGCAGTTATCTAATTATCTTACAGTAGACAAGTGTTCAAGTTTTTATGTGTATGGCAGCCAGCACAAGAGAACCCCAAATGTTGCTCCATGGGGCGTATTACCTCTATAAAAGGTCAGTAACAATTCCTGTTGAATTTCCCTTACTGCTACGCACTCACTATTGAGAAAATGGGAGCTACTTCTGAGCTTTAATACACTTTCTGTTTGTTTGTTCAGGAGTTTTCAACCCAAGTCAGCCTCAGGGTCTGCTAGTCTGAAAATCAGCGTCTTCTCCAATTTTCTTCCCTAGTTTTCTCCCCCAGACGCTTGACAGGAGAGGAAGTGTAATTATTTAAAGTATTTTGGGAAAATATATCTCACTGTTTCTATGACCCCGTCCTTCCTGTAAGAACTTCTGTGGGAATGTGCAATCTAATCTATTAAATGATTCAAGGAATGTTGGTGGGTTTTGTTGTTTGTTTGATTTTTCTCTTCTTTTACGTGGATGCATTTATTTCTGTTTGCTACTAACATTTTTTTCTTCATATTCTTGTTCATTTTCTTCGAACTGCATTCAGTCATTCTTCTGCCATTCAAACACTCAGATTGAGAGAAAATTTGTAACAGCTTTTCAGAACTACCATTTAGAAGAAAATGCTTTACACTGTTTTACAAAATAAAAATATGTTGGTGGCACTGGCTTTAAGGGGACCCGTTGAGAGCAAAAAATAAAAATCTTTATTAAGATTTTCTATTGTGATTGCTCTATTTAAAAGTTCTTCTTTGTATAATAGTTCATGGTGAAGTTGCTTCTATTTAAAGCACTGAGTTTGATCTTGGCTTTGATCTGTAGCTTTTGATCTTGAAAGAAGGATGTTGTGGCAGTAAAACAAAAAGACTAGGAGAGACTTTTTTTTTTTCTCCCTAGTTACAAAGTTAAAGGGATGGTGTCAAGATTTAGCAGGCAGTAATTGGACCTGCCTTTATTTACTTAACTCTGTTTGCAGAGTCCATCTAATTCTATATGCAGGAGAGTTTGCTTGTGCGCATGTTTTTATAAGCTCTCTTTTTTCACAGGAGCACAGCTTTTCTTCAGAAGCTTTCAGAGAATGGTCATTTATAGCACAGAGTATAAATTAGTTCTAAAATGCTGAGAATAACTTAGTCATACTAGACGTGACTCAGTCTGTCTTGTTTTTAATGCTGAACACCAAACATTAAAAATAACTCAACTTGATGATTTCTGAGATTTTCCATGGCTGACTTAAGTTATGTATCTCCCATCACACTTAAGATAGAACGTGCTGCTCAAAGAGCACAGAAACATCTGCTGAAGGCCCATGCCTAAATTTAATCACCTGCTCATGCTCTCGTGTTGAATATCAAGTTTTTTTTCGGAGGCCTCAGTTCTACACTTAGGGTGCCGTGATAGGAACAAAACCCGCTGAGCTGCTCGTACTGAGCTGCCCTTCAGAACGCAGTGCAGTTACCAGCTGCGTTCTTCGGCGTCAGGAAAGCACCGGGGGAAGCCGTCAGGCATTAACGGTGCCACACTCCTGACGCAGCCTGCTCGCCCGTCACCGGGTACGCGGTGGTTTTGCGAGGACAGCGTCTTTTTGCTGCGGAGGGCTTTACAGGAGCTGTGCGCCATGGGGCTCGGGACAAGGGAGAGCCGTCCCGATGCTCCGGGCTCGGAGGGAGCGCGGGACGCCGGCGGCGACTCTCCAGGTCGGCCGGGGGAGGCGCGAAACTCCCGATGGGGTCACCCCGGAGCCTGCCGGTCCCTACGTCTTTAAGGCAGGCTCCTCCTCTGCGCGGGGTTCCGGGACCGGAGCGGGGGACCCCGCGGAGGTGTTCTATTTCCTACCGAAGGCAGCGGGACGGCTGGGCTAGGGGTGGCGGCGTTCCTCGGGGAGCGGATCGGCTCGGCACGGCTCCGCCTCACCGTGCGCTTTCTTTCCGTACAGCCGCTGCTGGAGGAGGGCGAGACCTGGAAGGAGTGCAAGCTCGTACAGCAAGTGAGCGCCGAGGTGAGGAGAGCCGTCCGTCCGCTACCCGCTTCGCCCCGCTTCGCCCCGCTTCGCCCCGCTTCGCCCCGCTTCGC